GCTGCAGCTGGTGAGGGGATAATGAGCTGATAGATAATGACGCTGACGAGCGGAACGCCCATCTAATCAGCGCGCTGACATATAACAACAGAAACACGAGACAAGAAGAAAACGTAGGATTTACCAACCGTGACAGCCGGTTACTACCCGAAACCCGAAGTTTAAAAGTACGATTAAAAACGCTACAGACCCCGTCAGGCTATGGCAGACGTGTCATTCAACCTATTGTAAGTCGATGTACCATCACAAGAGACTTGGAAATATATTATGAAGGTTGAAAAGTTACCTGTTGTTACTTTAAATTTAAATTTAAACACATTTTCTTTCTCATTTATTTATGAATCACATAAACTAAATGGTCCATTCCATTGCTCCATTAATATTTATACAAAAGTGCTAGTTTTTCTTCTTTTTAAAATTCTTAATTCAAAATATGAATAATGTAAGAATTATTCAATTCAATTTGATGGAATTTTACTATTAATTGAAATGCGTAAATCTTGATAAAAGGCTTAATTTTTTTTTTTTTAAGTGTATAGGCCTACTCACTAATTCATCCAGCAGGGATTGAATTGAGTTTCATGATATGATTCCTGATTTAATTCAAATGATCTGAAAATTAGGGCCCCCTGGCCCCTCGACACATACAATCCAGGCCAATCACTACCTCAGCTACTGTTTTAGATATCTAATGTACACCTGTGTAAAAAAAATTTACAGTTTTTTAAGCCAAATTGCCCATGTAGTTTAGACCTTTGCTGACGGTATACGGGACCATGATTCCTAATTGAAACACTTTACATCATTTAGATAAAGAGATTAAAAAGCTTAAAAGAAATGCTCCACTTACCAAAGTCAGCAACAATATATAAAACCAACAATGTGGCATTTATAGCATTACAAATTGCCTGATTACACCACTTGATGTGTGAATGACAAATGATAGGGCTAAACACAAGCAAAAGAGTGGTAGGCATGTTTCAGCCAATAGGGAATCAGTACAATTCTGTTCCCAAAAGAAGTTCATAATTTTCATGTGAATGTTGTTACAAAAATAGCCACCAAGCTTTCTGTGAGCATTCAGATGGGGCTTAAAATTTCTGACCTATTTTGAAACAATGAAGAATTATAGCAGGAACATTCCAGTGGATGTTAAAGACTAGAGCAACATCGTAAATTGCCTATTCATATGTTAATACATTATGTAATGTGAATGAATGAACAAAAACATTTCAATATCAAATGATCTCATGATCCCCCTTAATAGGCGTGGGTATTGAAATAGGACTCTTCGGGATGTGGTGTGAACACACCGCCATCTAGTGACTAAAATGACTCAACGTTGCTCATCTGTAATTGTGGCATGGGATCAACATAATTACAAGGAAAAAATAATAAGCTGGAATAACTTAATATCTGCTGTGTGACCTTAAACAAATATAATGGCTTGAACTGACCCAGAGATTGCAAAGAGTTTGCAGAAAACCTTAAAAACAAAAAACATTGCAATAAATAAACCGTGGACCTTTCTATATTCTTTATGGGAATAACTTATATAGTCCGATTCTCTCCATCACCCAAATAAGCTAAGAATGCTGCACATTAACAGCCATTAGAAAGTATGCAGCTACTTGATTGCTATTTTCGTTTCCAAAATGTTTCCAGTTGAAGAGTTAAAACGTCATTCACTCCCTTAGTTACAATAATTGATTAGAAACACACCTGCAGCTTTATGTTCATTCAGATAAAAAATAAATAAAAAATAAGTAATTAAATAATATATTTTCACATGCTGATTTTATATCTGATTTGTGTATACACTGTGCAATCCTTCCATTTGTATATAGATTTGCTTTAATTCGACTATGCATACTTGCTAGGGACACACTGACTTAAAGGTAGGGTTGGGTATCGGTTGGGTTTTATCCGATACCAGTACCTACTCGGTATTTTTTAAACGGTTCCGGTGCCTAAACGGTTCTTGAAACGGTACTTAAGAAAACGAAACCGCACACACTTTATCAAAAAATAATACCCTTTTATTTACAGGGCCAAACTGGACACAATATTAGCTTAAATCTTTAAACAATATAAATACAAATAATAATAAAACCAATATAAAATAAAAATTAACATTTACATAATATCAAATAAAACAATATTGTATCAAACAATGTAATAATACTGGAGATTAATAGAGATTACTAGCAGGCAGAGCTGCCAACTCTCACGCATTGACCGTGAGACTCACGCAATTGACCCTTTTCACACGCTCTCACGCAAGCCACACATCCATTTTCTCACGCAGAGAAAAATCGCGGACAAAGAGGACACTGACACCGACAGACAAGGTTACTTTTGATATGGAACAAATCCACAGCTGTCAGATTCTGTCAATATTTTTACGAGATTCGCACAATAAATAACGTTTTGGCTCTTTGAAATGTGACAGATCGCTGTAGCGCTTCAGTTCAAACGGCACGTGATACAGCAGCCTACAAATACAAATCCACTGCTTCTTAGCTACGCAGCGTTGAGTGAACCTATGAAAGAGAACATCTCTGGTTACTGGTGTAAGCTGCCAAGCTCCTCGCGCTGCCGACCAGCTTCCTTTTTCGGCAGAGAAATCTGAGGCGCAGATGGCGCGCGCGCGCCAACATAATATGACGACGTAAGTGCGTCGAGGCGGCGCCCGCGCCATCAGCCAATGAGTTGGCTTGATTCTATATGGTATTCAGACTATCGGCACACCCAGAGGTCGTTCTGACGCGTAATTTTACACGTGAAATGCAGCCAAACCTTGCGAGCAAGAGCGCGCATGCGAGACAGAAGAGACTGTGCGTGTGTGTGTGTGCCTAATTAAGTCAGGCACCGAAATTGTCGTTCTTATTCGGTCTGGTTACTACCGTTTACGTCGGAACCGGTTCCCTATTGGCACCGAGTTTCGGTACCCAACCCTACTTAAAGGTGAACTAAGTAACTTTTTTACCTTAACCGAACAGCTTTGGAGTCATTGTAATGTTTATATTACTGATTTCGTGTTGAATGGTGGTCATCTCGCACCCCCCTGGTGCCTGTGAGCCGCAAAACCACCCTTGCAACTTTGGGCCGGCGAGGTAACGAATTGCTTTACGGCAAAAAACAGATCTGATAAAATTCTGATAAAATGAGCATCAAACAGAAATAACCCGGCGCCGTATACATGTTGTGTTGGGCGCGCGCAGCTCCTAAAGGGGCCATACCTTATTTCCACTCGTTACAGCGTCCATCCTACTGAACAGGTACCGGTGTACAGGGGGAGGGGATCCGGCCGTGAGTGCGAGCCATCTCTGCGTGAGTGCTATTCACGACAGTACAAGTACTCCACAGCGACTCTAGGGGTCGCTGTTTGACAAAAACGGAATTCCTACTTAGTGCTGCTTTAAAACAGACATGTTACTATCCTGGTCCTGGATAATAATCACCTTTCTGAAGTTCACAACGAGTCATAGAACAATAGGCTAATATTTGATTACTGGGTTTTAATTAGTTTTTTGTTAAAAACTGAGGAGAGATTAAAGGTACACTACTGAAACTCTCTTCACATCCTGATAATACTATTTACTGTAATCAGTAATAGAAGTGGTCTAAAAAAAAATACATACTGTATCTTTTGTGGAAGTCTCAGGGCCAAAAAATGTCGGTCGGTCTGTCGATGTTCTACTTGCCTGTCAATATACTTCCATACTTCCGCGCACCTGCTCGCGCAGACATCACACGTCATCAGTGCGTTCCATGAGGCTGCAGAGTAAACACACAGGCGGTGTTTCTCATTTCTTATTTGTGCATCCTCGTTTCCTTTCCTCACGTCTCAGCTCCTCCCCCTTAGGATGTGAGGGGAGGTAATGTTCACGTAATGTCATAACCGTACGAGATGGCAACCCGTGACGTTCTCGTACCTGGAGCTGTTCATGTCCCCAGTCTCAGATTTATGCGTTTCTATCAACACTATCAACGCCAAATGAATCTGCAGTCAGGTGCAAGTAAGAGCTCTGTAAGTTGTTTACACATTATTATTTTAATGTTATACATGTGCTTTGAGACATGAGGTAGTTTAACGCAGTCTCTCGTGGCGCTTAAGCAGACTCTGCTGTGTTCATGTGTTTTGAAGGAGACGTGGTTTTGGAGACGCTCTAAAGGGAGGTTGGGATGCTTTCAATGCTAGCTTGCTATTGCTAGCCTCTCCGAAATTGTCTACCCTACCTTTAAATTGTTTCATTTTTTTAATTAGGCTACTATTATTATTTTTGCACATAGGGATTTTGATACACCAAACAGATAGGAAGTACAGCCAGTTTCAACAAAACATGAGTTAAAATAAACAGCACAAAGTGAGGATATCCAAGTGTTTGAAATATGACTGGTAAACTGTGATTGCATAACAGAACAGATGGAACAAAGATTATTGTTTAGTTTTCGTACATTCAACGCCAGTGCTCTCACTTTAAGCCCCTGTTGAAGTTGACTTTATTTCTGTTTGGGTTCTGTATAAAATTATTAGGATAATAATAATAATATAATTAACCCATTATTTTATCTTCAAATTGTTAATGTGTTAATCTGACCTAATAAAAACTGTATGTTCAGACATGCACTTTTGTTATTTTGTTACAGACATGCACTGATTGTTAGGCTATACAAAATAGAGATTTAAATTTTAATCCAGCAAGAAAACATACACACACAGTTTTACAACAATCATACATTAGAACCTGTGGTCTCCGAGACCCACGCTTAGGATTTTTGAAACATGAAATTCTCCTAAAATCAGCAAAAGCCATACGTGTTAACATTATACCTAAGCATGCTTTAAAGCTGAAATGTGGCTTACAGGGTTAAACTAAACACTAAACCTGCGATAATGAGTCTTTTTTTTTATCGTTTCTATAACTGCAGCGTAACAGGTTTAGAGAGACATGAATTACAGTCGGAGAGTTGCTGTTCGGAACTGTGTGTTTCACAACTGCTCAGGATGTAAGACGCGTCTCGTAGCTCAAACAAGGAGACATGACAGAGGTCCAAACGATTTGCGATTCGCTACACAGTAAATAAGTCGTGAATCTGTTTGGAAATGGTTGATGATTAAATTCTGGGCAAAGTGCACGACTGGGCTACATAAGTCAGTGAGGACACACGTCGAGTATCCTCGCCATTGCATAACTTTTACTTCCATGTAGGCTATCTGAAGTTGGGCACCAGGATTTGAGCGCTATGTGGTACTTTTGCGATGTTTTCGGCCGTATATGGCAATCGCCGTTTATTTTGTTTTATTTGTTGGCGTTTTGGGTCGCACCTGCGTTCCTGCATCCACAGTGTTTGGATTTTAAACCCCCATTTCAGCCTCAACAAGAGCTTCAGTTCTGTCAAATGTATAAATACTTCGGCTGCTGTGATTATGCCAGGGACCAAGAGCTGAAGGCAAAATACTATCGAATAATGGATAACTTCGATTATTATGGATATTCGAACTGTGCCGCGTACGTTCAGGATATGCTTTGTCAGGTAAGTTTGACCGCACTATTACAAAACGATATTTTTTGTTTAGTTTACAGTGGCTTTATAAATGTACTCGAGCCATTGTTTGTTAGCCTCTCAACACGTACCGCAATTTGCAGCCATAAATTGTAAACGATGATGATGTCCAACTGTCTGTTAGAGTTGCCAATGATTTGAAACACGGTTGGTTGGGGCCAAATGACGTCACTAGAAGAATCTCTTTTTTGCCCAACCTTGCAAATAGTTCCTATAGAAAGCACACTGCACAGTCATGTAAATGAATACACAAAGAGCTTGACTAAAACAAAACAACAAAATAGAATTATATAAAAAATGCATAGACTATGTGACAAACAAAAAACAACAACACGTAAACAAGTACGAGATACAATATAGCAAAATAAACACCCAGGGTAATCAGACGAGTCGAACACTTCAAAAGAATAGTATTGATTTGAAATAGAAATCACATAGGCTAACATAAATGTCACTTTTGATCAGTTTAATGCATCCCTGCTGAATAAAAGTATTAATTTCTTCAAAACTCCCTGGCATGCTAGCAAGACCCTAGCAACCATTCACGCCAAATTAGAAACATATTGCTAAATAGCTCTGCCTATTTTAAACTTTTAGGTTCCGAAGTAAGTTAAACGTCTAGGGGTCACATAAAAAAAACTTCATGGATTGCTTTTTTCCCAGTGCAGTGTGGGCCACTGTAAACACTACATTGAGGTGTAAGTGCTTGTGGTTTCACAGAGTGTTGAATGTGGGAAAGCAGACATGACTATTCAAATGCATTTCTTGAGGCCGTCACGATTCAGTTACATCCCCCACTTTTCCTGTTTCTCTTCTTCAGGAATGCTCTCCATACGCTGCTCATCTTTTTGACGCCGAAGACCCCAACACGCCTTTACGGACCATACCTGGACTCTGCCCCGACTATTGCCCTCAATTCCATTCCAAGTGCAGATCCTTTCTTACCTTGTTGTCTGACGATCCACGTCTTCCAGAACTTGAGCATGACCAGCGCAGGCTTTGTCAGTACCTAGAGCTGGATGACCCAGATTACTGCTATCCTCATATTTTGAGCAATGAACGCTTAACCAAAAGTCTGGGCCGCACTGCATCGGACTCTGAGGGCTGCTTGCAGCTATGTTTGGAGGAGGTAGCCAATGGACTCAGAAATCCTCTCGCCATGATTCACGCCAATGATGGCACGCACAGGTTTTTCGTTGCTGAACAAGTTGGCCTGGTCTGGGTATACCTTCCAGATCGATCAAAGCTTGAAAAGCCATTTCTAAACATCACAAAAGCTGTGTTGACATCTCCATGGGAAGGTGATGAAAGAGGATTTTTGGGACTCACCTTTCACCCCCGTTTTAAATACAATGGGAAGCTGTATGTATACTACTCTGTTGAGGTGGGCTTTGATGAGAGAATCCGTATCAGTGAGTTCCGTATCTCTTCTGCGGATATGAACGTGGTTGACCACAGTTCAGAGAGGTGAGCAGCTGTTTTTCTTTAAATTAAAGGTTCCAAAAGGGGGTTTTCGTTTCGGTGCAACAGAACCATTTTGGGTTCCTCAAAGAACCGTTCTGTGAACAATCAACACATTCTCATCCCAAGGCGTCATCAAACTGACACTTTTGACCATGCGTCAACATGCCGACGCACATGGTACCCCTTAAGCGTCAATATGAGACGCTCATCCTCGGGCGTCATCTGACTGACGCTTTTGACCATGCGTCTAAATCCGACGCACATGGCACCCTTTAGCGTCAGTTAGATGACGCTTCCGTTATGGGTAGGTTTAGGTCTGGGGTAGGGTTAGGGTTAGACCACTAGGAGGCGGGTCTCATATTGACGCTTAAGGGGTACCATGTGCGTCGGCATGTTGACGCATGGTCAAAAGTGTCAGTTAGATGACGCCTTGGGATGAGAACGGGCTGGAACAATTCCTAAAAAAGCCCATTTTTTTTTCTTATTGTGAAAAATAATTTAATAATCTGAAGAAACTTTTTCCAATTTAAAGTACCTTTTGAGCAATGGAAAGGTTGTTAAAGGTTCTTCAATGAACCATCAATGCCAATAAAGAACCTTTATTTTTAGAGTGTATGCTTTCAATGCATAATTGGGTAATTATGATAATCATAATTTCAATTGGGTTTAGAGCGTCCAATACTCCACTTACAGTATCTTCATGTCCCCTCAGAATCATTTTAGAGATCGATGAACCTGCTTCTAATCACAATGGTGGGCAGCTTCTCTTCGCCGATGATGGATACTTATACATCTTCACTGGAGATGGTGGAATGGCAGGAGATCCATTTGGGAAATTTGGAAATGCACAGAACAAGTAAGTTTAGATGATTAGTCAACTGTGATATTATTTGAATATTGTACAAGAAGCTAATTTCAGTTTGGTACAAGAAGGACAGTTCGGTTGTGATAATTTTTCATCTCTTATCTGGATGTTACTGCTAGATCTGCCCTTTTGGGAAAGGCTCTTCGCATTGATGTAGATGACAACGAGAGGGGGCCGTTGTATAGAATTCCACCGGACAATCCATTCATACGTGAACCCAACGCTCGTCCAGAAGTGTATGCCTACGGTGTGAGGAACATGTGGAGATGCTCTGTAGACAGAGGAGATCCGAACACCAAGGAAGGAAAAGGACGAATTTTCTGTGGAGACGTGGGCCAGAATAAGTATGAGGAAATAGACATTGTGGAGAAGGGCCGGAATTATGGCTGGAGAGCAAAAGAGGGCTTCTCTTGTTACGACAAAAAACTCTGTGCCAACAGCTCCTTAGGTGGGAATACATTTACTCTCATTGTCAGTCCTTTAAATTCTTAATGTTTGAATTTTGAATACGTTTTTATTGGATGAATGGATGATTTAGTGTCTTTTTCAACCTATTAAGTCTTTTTACGCTAAACTCTTTTACTTCTAGATGATGTTCTTCCGATTTACGCATATCCACACAAAATGGGTAAATCGGTCACAGGTGGATATGTTTACAGAGGCTGTGAAAATCCAAATTTAAATGGCATGTACATTTTTGGAGACTTCATGAGTGGGTAAGTAATTATTTTTTTAAATAAAATAAATTAATGCTTTCATTCAGAAAGAGTGTATTAAAGTGACGGTGAAGACATTAATAAAATGTTACAAAATATTTCTATTTAAAATAAATGCAGTTTGAACTTTGTATTTATCAAAGTAAAAAATGCCATTTCCACAAAAATATTAAGCAGCACAGCTGTTTTCAGCATTGATAATGATAAGAAATGTTTCTCGAGCACCAAATCAGCATGATTTCTAAAGGATCGTATGACACTGAAGATTGGAGTAATGATGCTGAAAAAGCTTAACCATCACAGTAATATTTTCCCAGAATATATTCAAATACAAAACAGTTATTTTATAGTGTAATTATAATTCTCAAAATTACTGCGTTTACTGTGTTTTTGATCAAATAAATGCAACTTTTCTGAGCGTGGGACTTTTTTTCAAAGCATTATTACAATTTTAAAAAATCATTTGAATGATAATGCTGTTGTGATACTACTTGAGGTCATTAGAAATTTCACTTTTTCAAAATGACAAACATTGTTTTTAAATGTGAACTCTATGAATTTTCAGACGCCTGATGAGTTTAAAGGAAAACAGAAACACACACAGTTGGGAATACAGTGAGATTTGCATGGGTGTGGGTCTGACTTGTTCATTTCCAGGGCTTATCAACAATTACTATCCTTACATCATTTCGTTTGCAGAGGATGAAGCAGGTATGCAAAAGAAAGGCGACATATTCCTTTTATACACTTTATATGCTGCATAAATTAGTTGCTCTACAGCTCCTAGTGGAAAAAAACTACGTAGTGTTTAATGTTAATTTGATCAGTGTTTCATGTGACTTGTTATCTGTGACCAGGTGAACTCTATTTCATGTCCACCGAAATACCAAGTGCAACATCTCCTACAGGCGTTGTGTACAAGATTGTTGACCCTTCCAGGTATTCTTTTTCATCACTCGTAATAATGTAGTCTCTGGTGTTCAAAGATCAGCTTGTGTTGCCTCTTAACAGACTTTACTCTCAAAATGCTGTGTTGGCAGCAATATGTACTGCTGTAATATCTCTCTCTCTCTCTCTCTCTCTCTCTCTCTCTCTCTCTCTCTCTCTCTCTCTCTCTCTCTCTCTCTCTCTCCCTCTCTCTCTCTCTCTCTCTCTCTCTCTCTCTCTCTCTCTCTCTCTCTCTCTCTCTCTCTCTCTCTCTCTCTCTCTCTCTCTCTCTCTCTCTCTCTCTCTCTCTCTCTCACAAAAATCAGAGTTACAGTGAGACTTTTACAATGGCAGTGAATTGGGCCAATCCGTAAATGTTAAAATACTCACTGTTTTAAAAGTATGGCCACAAGATTATGCATGTTAACATGATTTTAGTGTTACAACTATGACAACTTAACGTCTAAAACAACCTTAAAAAATGATGAGAAAGACTTTACAGCTCAAATAATACACAAGTTGAAAAACATAATAATTATAAAAATTTTAAAAAGCTTTTATAAAATTTAAAGCTTCACATTTCGGTTTATAAATCCTCCAGAAATTGGACCCTGTTTGCTTCCATGTGTCTTACCGTAACCTGGATTTTTGCTTCTGTTAAAGAAAACGAGAGACAATGTGAAATTAATTCTGTGATAATCAACATTAGGACACAAATACTGTTGATCTCAACTTGTATTAAACCCAGAATATTCATTAAAAGATTAAAATGCTATCCCTGCTTTATTACAGACGTGCACCTCCAGGAAAATGTAATTATGAGCCACTTTCAGTTCGTGTTAAGAGCAGTCTTATACCATTCAAGCCAAAGGAAAGTAAGTTTGCTTACTTCATAAGAGATCTAGTCAATCTGTACACCCAAAACTGTGTTTTTGCCATCAGACATGCTTTTTTAAATTAAATGTTCAATAGAGTACCACAATTAGAGTAGGCCTCTCAGAGTCATCATCACCTTGGTTCCCTTAAAATTGCAGAAAATACGCTCAGCGACCAACAAAAGTTTATGATTCTTACGTTTTGTTCATCATGACAATCGTCACTAAATGCAATTGCAAGAAGTAAACATTACAGTTAGGCTCTAATGAATTACACCATGTACGCACAACTTCAACCTTAAAGGGATAGTTCACTTTGAAATTCATTTTTGGTATGTTTTAGCTTACCTCAAGGGCATCCAAGATGTAGGTGTCTTTGTTTCCGCAGAAGTTTAAATTTTGATATTTTTAGGTCAAACCGTTCTTGTCTGTCAGTCATATAATGCAGGTCTATGGTCACCACCTCAAAGAGCATGCACAGAGAAGTCCAAATTAAACATGATTTAATGACTCGTAAATGTAAGTACACATTGATGGCCTAAGACACGAAACGAGCGGTTTGCGCGAGAAAACGAACAGTATTTATATGGTTTTTACCTCTTGTAACCACAGCCACGACCAAGTGATCTGAGTGATCTTCGGTCTGCGCAAGCGCCGGAAAGCGCCGGAAGTGATCTCTAGCGCGTGTACGTCACTCATTGTTTACACAGAGATTTCGGAAGTCGAAATCGTCTTCCATTGCGATTTCCTGTATATCTAAATCTGTTTAGATCTTCACAGTGAAAGGTAACACTTCCGAAATCTCTGTGTAAACAATGAGTGACGTACACGCGCGAGAGATCACTTCCGGCGCTTTCCGGCGCTTGCGCAGACTGAAGCGCCCGCGCCCTCAGATCACTTGGACGTGGCTGTGGTTACAAGAGGTAAAAACGATATAAATACTGTTCGTTTTCTAACACAAACCGCTCGTTTCGTGTCTTAGGCCATCAATGTGTACTTACATTTACGAGTCATTAAATCATGTTTAATTTTGGACTTCTCTGTGCATGCTCTTTGAGGTGGTGACCATTTTCTGCGGAAACAAAGACACCTACATCTTGGATGCCCTTGAGGTAAGCTAAAACATACCAAAAATGTATTTCAAAGTGAACTATCCCTTTAACACCACTAAGCTTCCGAAAACTCTTCAATTTTTATTTCATATCTACAATTTGGAAAGTTTGAGTTAGAATAGTTTTGAAGATCTTGAGTATAAACACAATGAGGCTGTGGAAGCAGACTAGTGAGTAGAAGAGGTTTCCTGTTCGGTGTGATGTTTAATGTCCCCGAAAGCCCTATTTAGCCAATTTTACAAGATACGTAAAACAGGACAATAGAACCGGAGTGGAAATAAAAATAAACTTTTTTTCCAGGTTTTAGGACTCTGCGGCACTCTATAACAACATGATTGAGTAACTGTTTTTTGTATAAATCCCCCTTTTCACAGCATTGATAGGAGTCCATGTTCCAACAAAGCTTCCAAGACTCTCAAATGCAGAGGAACCTCCCGTCGATGGCTCAAAAGGCTGGTTTCAGGAGCTGCTGGACATCTTAAATGAGCAGGATGGGCAGATCACCACCACACCATTCACCCCAACTACACCCAAGCCCAATAGGACATCCAGACAGAGGAAGGGTAGACGCAAGAAGGGCAAGCACAAGAACGGAGTGGTGAGATTAGTCGGGGATGAAGAGGGCCGGATGGATCGGGGAAGGGTGGAAGTATACGCTAATGGGGAATGGGGGACTGTTTGTGATGATCTCTGGAACACCAAGAATGCAATTGTGGTCTGCCGGCAGCTCGGGTTCCGCCATGCACTTAAGGCTGCCGCTGAGTTTGGGGAAGGGACGAGCCTGAAGATTATTTTGGATGATGTGCAGTGTGAGGGGACTGAGGAAACTCTCTTGGATTGTCAGCACGCTGGGATTGGCACACACAACTGCGCTCACTATGAAGATGCAGGAGTGATATGTGGAAATTCAGATTCAGGCCTAGAATAATCTTTAACATTTCAGAAACAACCATTTTGTTATTAGTTGTAGCACATAACTGATCATTTCCAACTGCAAGAGAGAAGACATTTGGACTATAATACAGTTTTTCTCAGTCACTTTAGGTCCATTTCTTGAATCATCCTTAAAGGGATAGTTCACCCAAAAAAAGAAAATTCTGTCATTAATTACTCACCTTCATGTCGTTTCAAAGCCCTAAGATTTCGTTTATCTTCGGAACACAAATTAAGATCTTTTTGATGAACATATTTAAGGCTAAATTAAATTTGTTCATCATATAAAGCGATTGTGTCTCTTCATAAAATTTGGACTGAACGGCTCAATTCATATGATTAGTTTTACGATCTCTTTATGAACTTTCGCGTCAAAGTGGTAGTTGCACAGCCGTCTATGGAGGGACAGAAAGCTGTCAGATTTCATCAAAAAGATCTTCATTTGTGTTCCGAAGATTAACAAAAGTCTTCTGGCTTTGGGACGACACGAGGGTGAGTAATTAATGACAGAATTTTCATTACTTGGTGAACTAACCCTTTAACATTGCAAATCAGTAAGTGCATTTCTCGAAACAATTATGTACAAACAGCACCACACAATTTCCTACGAAAGCCTGTAACTTGCTCAAAATCCTTAGTTCGTCTCTCAAAAGTTTTTATATCTATGAACATATCACTGCTATCAGAATGACAAGTCTGTGTCATTGTTCACAAACAAGCTAGTCAAAATGCTTAGCCATGTTGTCAATATAATAGTGTACTCTGACTGTATTTCCTGATGTAAAATATGGCAACGGTTTTGATACAAAACAGTGCACAAGGCTGAACCTTTTCTATATGGAATATATCAATTTCAACAGTAAAAATGTACAGATTTGTGTATTTTGGCAGAAATCCCATTTTTGACAGGATTTAGTTTGATTGTAGGTGGTCTGTCAACAAATCATAGTGCAATGTCATTGTGATATAGAAAAAAAAAAAAAAAAAGTATTATTAAAGTACAGTGCACATTGTTGGATTACATACTTTTACTGTCCACAAAACATTTGAATGTTCTCCCAACCATTTGCTTCCACCCTGTGCATTGCCTTGGCCATTGTAAGGCCATGATTGAGAACATGTTTCATAGTGGCCCTTATTTCATCAGAAATGTGCCTATGTCCTCTGCCTCTTCTACCTCTGTTTTGCCCCGCTAACCTTCCATCATGCATCCTTACATGGCTGTTGACCCTGTTCATTTCTTTGTTCTTTCATTCTCAGAAATTGTTGTGCTCTGTCTATATAATGCTTAGCCTACTAAATTGAAGGTTCATCAGATGCACCTGAGGTATTTTACAGAACTGGTTTCAGACTTGTCTTCATTAGTGAAATCCAAGATTCACCTGTGTAATTCATTAATTCAGGACACATTTGAAAAAATAATAATACATTTAAAAAAATAAAACATTGTGCTTGCCATTATGACAACTAGTTTGAATCATTTTGCGCTGACTTTTGCGATGAACTAATGCCTAGATGTTTTGACTATTTATTCAACAGAGAAGCATAGGCTAAGCCTATGATCAACATGACATAAGCAATTGATAATGTATGAAACAGCTGTACAAAATCATTTGCATGAATGTACCAAAGCATTGGCAAGTTGTTCAAAAGAATGAGAAATTGATGTATGATGTGCACACGTGAGATGTGGAGGTTGAACAAGTAGCCTAGTTTTGAGAATTGTGATATGAGAAATGTCCCTAAGTGGCTGAGAAAAACTGTAAAACGTGATATTTGAGTAGTTTAAATCATGACGAAACATTCATGTTCATGATTTTTATGCTCAATTAGACCTGTTGATGTTTTAAATTGTCTGACTCTGAATCAATAAATGAAGTTTTGTCGTCCCATCAATTATATCATAACATTTGTAAACGTTCATTTAGCGTTATTCATTCAAATAAATTTGGAATTATACAATTTTTGTGATTATTTTAAACCAACCCAAAACATGAACAAAATCAGCAGCACATCTTAAAATGTCTTTGGACACTCGTTTGTTGTAGCCTATCTTTTGAAGTCTTACCTTGGAGTAGGCTACAAATGAATATTCTGCTCGTGTAATATTGCAGAGTATGGTATTACTATCCATCTGTATCACTTTACAAATTTACACTTCAGCTATAGGCTATCGTGAATAGGAAACGCAACAACAACTGGCAAACTAGACGTTTTGTTGTAGCTACTTTTAGAGATACCGCTTTTCTCTCTTTTTTTACAGATAGGAAGTAGATTCTTTTAAAATATTTGCTCTAAACAGTAAGTTAACAGTTTCCGTAAAATAGTTGTAGCAAGTTATTAATTTTTGAGTAGCAAATAGGTCATTTTACTTACACAGTTGAATTGGTTTGCTAAACTTTTGTAGCTAAATACAAGATTCAAATATATGAATGTGTAAATAAATACAAGTAACGTTAAAATATCTGCGAAGATTATTATCGTACTGGTATAGGATACTATTATGTCGTACTATTTTCGTAAAAATAAGGCTTAACCATGTACAAAAGCGTATATTAGCCATTAGCACGTTAGCATACAACAACATGGCTCCATAGCTCAGTGGTTAGAGCACTGGTCTTGTAAACCAGGGGTCGCGAGTTCGATCCTCGCTGGGGCCTTCATTGGTTTATTTTCTTCTTCTAACTTTTACAATCACGTTATGTTATTATTGTGAAGTGAAACTAACTATTATAAGAATATCACAATTAATCGAAGGATGAATGTGTGTTTTAAAGCAACAACCGCAAGTTTGAGTAAAAGTTATTATTATTATTTTTTTTTTTTTACTTTTTATAGCCTACATTTTCTAATAACATGGAAGCGTAAAATTAAATATTGATGTACTGAGTTAAAATAAATAAGCTGTGTTATCCAAATGTGGGTATGACATTGTTCTCATTTCAATGATGTCTTTGTGTGTTGAATTCCAGCTCTGCTTTGAACGAGGTCATTGATATGCTGAGCGTTCAATCACGTAGGTAGTGCCAGCCATCTCTGCTGCCAGCTTCCCTTCCAAAATTGGCATCCCTTTGAAAAGTAATTTAGCTCTCTGCCTCCAGAAACACATAATTTACAAAGCAGGTCTTCCTGTTAGCAGAAATGGAGAGATGAATGTCATTTTAGTTCCCTTTTTGCGCATGCGATCAGAATTCGGATTGTATTTTTTACTAATTTGACTAGCAGTTTTCAAATTTTAAAATGCAAATTAAGCTTTTGTAAGAGCACAAAACAAATAAAGGCATAACAACTGATTTATCACAGCCTATATTATTTTTAAGTGTCTAAAGGTCCAGTTACCATATAATTATGGTTATTGTAACATCCCTCGTGTAATAATGCACAAAAAGTGTGCTGTTTTGCCAACACTCATAATAGGCTTTTTATTAAAATCAGCGCTGGACCGTCTGTTTATTTCAAATGAATTAAATGTGGGGTTAGACTGACACCTATTGGCATTGTAAGTGAATTGATTTGGGAAAGAAAATTGTGTAGTAAATGTAAACATGTTATGCCAATAGATGGCAGTGTTGCACTGCCATAATTATTCAGTGGAAGATAAAAAAAATGCCCTTCTTTTTTGAGTTATCAACTAATAAGCACAGTTCAACAATGCTCGATTTTAATAATAAGAGCATTTTAACTTATATGTTATATGTTTTAAAGAAATTCAAATAATTTAATTCAAATAATTAATTATATATATATTTTTTAAATAATTCCTGGTTATTTGCTGTATGCCTATGCATTACACGTTATTTTATTTTTTTAATAGATGAATGATCTGTCCCTTCAGGGCACCTGTCATATATAACAGGAATCTGCCATTCATAGTCAGGTCATGGAATAATATTAATAATAGTCTGCCACCCATATGGTGCTTCTGCTCATCCCTCCCTTTGTCAAGCACATTAAAAGTGTGCTTTTCAAAAAATCCTATTAAGTTTAAAATGCCTATTTAATTTCCATATGACTCACATTGGATCAAAATGCATCTGAAGCCGAAAACTCCCTGACTGAGCCGCCTTCTGTGTGGAATACTTTTCCAGATGATGACACAATGATTAATACATGATGCAAAATCAGCAAATGTTGAAATATTTGACTATACCTTCATTATAAAGGATGGATCATGTGGCTGTAGGATGTAAGTGGTTTTAAGCCATTTCAAATCAGAACAACCATGCCACCCCAACATGACCCCATTTCATATCTCACATTAGTCTTCCTGTTAATTATGGTCAATTAATGGGACACTAGTGAGTGCTCTCCTAGCAAGCTTTAAGTGGAGCGCTGAACCTGAACAAATCCTATTTCCTGTCATGTTTCCCTCTTCTCCCTTCTCTTTTTGAAAGGATGGTCATCTCCGCCACACACACACCCAGATCCTGCAGTTCTGGAGAGGCGCTGGAGCATTTCTCACGGCTCATCACATCATCGCATGTGTACAATAACCAGGCCACGTCAACTAAAGGAGTATCGTCCTTCTCAGAATAAATATGAATTTGATAACTAACACAAACATACATTATATAATAATAAGATTTTTTTTTAGCTCCAAATCATCATATTAGAATGATTTCTGAAGGATCATGTGACACTGAAGACTGTGTAATGATGCTGAAAATTCAGCTTTGTCACAGGAATAAATTACATTTTTAAATATATTAAAAGGAAAACAGATATTTTAAAAATGTAATTTATTCCTGTGACAAAGCTGAATTTTCAGCATCATTACACAGTCTTCAGTGTCACATGATCCTTCAGAAATCATTCTAATATGATGATTTGGAGCTAAAAAAAAATCTTATTATTATATAATGTATGTTTGTGTTAGTTGGAATAAATTACATTTTTAAATATATTAAAAGGAAAACAGATATTTTAAATTGTAAATAATAGTTTTTTAGTGTGTTTTTGGTTTTGGTTTTTGATCAAATACAGCTGGTTAAGCATAAGAGACAATATTAAAAAGTCTTAAAGACCCCAAACTTTTGAACGGAAATATATACCTATTAATCAGTATAGGCCTACATCTTTATAACATTTTTCAAAAAAAAAGTATTTGGACACTTTCTGGTTGTCAGACATTAGTGGATCATGATAAACTTAAAACCTTTTTTGGGCCACTGATTCACTGTTCTGAAATGAGTTTATCTTCAGTATCATGCTAACATTTCTTGCTTTAAACTAGATTCAGTGGTTTACCAAACAATGAAACAGATCTGATGAAGGTTGTCATGCCTAACGTTTTTCCGTTTAGAAGTGTGTGTATGGCTGCAGATCTTGTCTATTAGGACTGGGGTGACTGACACAAACGGGTCAGTGAGTCAGATCCTACATACAGCTGTTTACTCACAGCTTGAGGCCTTCCTGAGGACCTGCCCCCCCCCCCCTAGAGACCCTGAGTTATGGAAGCTTGTTTCTGCCATGGAATAAAACATGAAAAAGGTAATTGTGACTTTTTATCTCACAATTCTGACCATTCTGTTATAAAGTCAGATTTGTGAAATATAGAAACAGATAGGCCTAAACAGAAGTCAGAACTGCGAAATATTATGGAAGCTTGTTCTGCCACAGGATAAAACATTTTAAAAGATAATTGCGACTATTTATCTCACAACTGAGTTTATATCTTATGATTCTGACTTCTTTTCTCAGAATTGTGAGATCTAAACTCGCAATTGCGAGTCATAGAATTCTGATGAAAAAAACACTTTTTTCCTCAGAATTGCAAGTTTATATCTCACAATTCTGACTTTATATCTCGCTTTTGTGACTTTATCTCACGCAATTCTGAGAATTGCGAGATGTAAACTTGCATTTGCGAGAAAAAAAGTCCGAATTGTGAGAAAAAGTAGGAATTAGCCTAAATTTGTTTTATTCTGTGGAGGAAACAATAAGATATAAACTTCCATAA